GCCAGTCTTATATAGAGCTGCCCGTGCAGTAGGCCGGTAGGCTGCTCCTTGCTGCTGCCGAGGTGCAGGAGGCTGCTCTTGCCAATGCCTCCGCCTGCCAGGCCCTGCGGAAGTTTCCTGGAAGTTTCCGGTAGGGCTTCCGGAAGCTTCCGTAGGGAAGTCTGGTCTGAGGGCTTATAAGCCCTTGGTCTGACAGGCCCTGCCAGGCTTTCAGTCTGGCAACCGTTTTAGGACCTGTAGGGCCTGAACTCGGTTGTCAGGCTGAAATGTCTCTGGGGCCTGTAAGCCCTAAGTTTTAGGCTTCAGTCTGGCAACCGTTTTAGGGCCTGTAGGGCCTGAATTCGGTTGTCAGGCTGAAATGTCTCCGGGGCCTGTAAGCCCTAAGTTTTAGGCTTTTAGGCTGACTGTCTGGGACGGGCCCTGTAGGGCCCGTGTGGCTACGCAGTATGCCACAGGTGGACAACGCTGCACAGCAAAAGCTGGACATTGCGTGGGCGGAGGCAATGTTCTGTGCTGGAATTGCATTCAACTTCCTGAATTTCAACACGACACAGAAGCTCCATGCAGTCTCCTTGGAAGTGGCAAATGCGCGACCGAAGGTGAAGCTGCCCTCATACAAGCATATGAGAACTATGATGCTGGACTTCATCTACTTGCGTATTCAAAAGCAAGTGCATCCTTTGACAGCCTGTTGGGAGGAATTTGGTTGTACATTCATCACGGACGGGTCATCAGGCCGTCGAGGGCGCCCTGTCATGAACTTCTTGGCAGCAGGGGAGAAAGGTGCAATTCTGGTGGCCACAGTGTCAATGACCGGAAGGAAGAAAACAGCACAGGCGTTGGCAAGGTTGTGGGAGAAGATTATGAGGGAGATAGGGGTGCATCGCATCAACGCGATCTGCACCGACAATGCCGAGGTGAACAAGAAGGCTGCTCATATTCTGGAGCGCCGCACTGACAAAGATATTGCAAGGATTCCATGGGTTCCTTGCGTTGCGCATTGTTGCAGCCTTTTGTTGAGAGATGTCAGTAACCTGGACGGGGTGAAGGGCACCGTGAAGAGAGGCCACACAATTGTGAAGTTCATTCGGAACCACCACTGCACGCACAACCTGATGATGTCCTACGACGATTCCCTGTCATTGCTTCCGCCCACGGAAGTTCGGTTCGGGTCAGTGTACATGATGTTGGAGAGGCTTCAGAACAGGAGGGCAGTGTTGTCGGATATGGTGGATCGAAAAAATGCAGCACGGTGGACGGGGATGCGTTGGTCCACTGCAAAGTTGAAGTCGAAAGCGGACCTGGTGTACTTCACCTTGAGGAGAGACGGCTGGTGGATGGAGTCGAAGAAGGTGGCTGACGTGATGGAACCGTTGTCCAGCCTTCTGAGGAGGATGGATCGGGATGGAACAACACTAACAAACCTCGTTGAGTATGACGACATGATTAAAAGGAAACTTGCTCATGTCGTTCTCATAGAGAAGCAGCCGGCGAGCATCATGGAGAAAGCCAGAGATTGTGTGAAGATGATGCGGCAGCCAGTCCATTCACTGGCGTTTCTTCTAGACCCACGAAGGAGAAATCCGCGGTGGCTTTACGATCGGGACGGTGCAATTGTGCAGAACGCGATGCTTTACCTGCAGAGACAAATTGGGGGTGAATGGAAAGGACCAGACCACCTTGAGGTTTTGAGTGACCTGCACAAGTTCCACAAGGGGCCCACGCCGAACGGGCCCAAGAGAAAGGACACGAAGATGTGGGAGCCTGATGCGAAGGCTGATTGCGATAAGCTCACACCGACCGAGTGGTGGGCAACTTACGGCTGTGATGTCCCCATCTTGCAGGCCATTGCCATCAAAGTGATGGGCATGTGGAGTACGGCTACCCCAGCGGAGAGGAATTGGTCGTCCATGGACTTCGTGCATTCCAAAAGGAGGAACAACTTGAAGCCCGAAACACTGGAGAAGTTGGTGTACATCCACTGGAACATGCAACTACTGCATGCTGCAAACAATAGTGGTGGCAACGGCGCGGGCTATGTTGATTTGTGGAGTTCGTTCTTCGAGGCTATTCCCGAGCCAAACGAGGATGGCGGATCTATCTTGAGGGGCCCCACGGAGGAAGCTGAGAAGACGGACGAGGAGCTGGTGTGGCAAAGTAGCTTCGTGAAGACACCAAAGGGAAGGATTCCAAAGAAGCTTGAGGACGATGAGGACGAGTGCACAAATGACAATGACTTGGATGATGAGCTGTGGAAGGGAAGTGTGGATTGTCGGATGAGTCTAGCGGCGCGGAGGAGGAGGATGATGAAAGTGATTCCGATTTTGAGCTGAGAGCCAAACCATTGGTCCCGGGCACAGAGTATGTTGGCAGGAGAGCAGCTGCACGGCGTCAGAGAGAGGAGCAGCCCGCGGCTTCTACACAAGCAGGGGGGGGAAGCTCCTCTCAATACCATCCTCAGTTTGCTGTTGAGTTCCATCACTTGGACACAGACGTCGAGTTGCTGCTGCACAGTGCCCCGGTTGATGAAGACGAAGCAGAGGCCGGCCATGCAAAGGCATTAGCAGATTGTGATCGAGACGCCGTCCAAAAACGGATCATGGAGGAGGACGCCCGGCGTGCAGCTATCCCAACTCGGAGGGAGATTGAGAGACGCAAGAAGAAGATTGGGGAAAACGAACTGGACACGCGTCGACCATTGGACGTTGTGCAAGAGCGAGAAGAGGGTAAGCAACAACAAAGTGAAGCGGTTGTGAAGGTGGTGGAAATCGCACTCCAAGAAGAGGGGAACGACAAGGTGCAGCCAAAAAAGGCAGAGGAGGCCGATCAGCAAGAGGCGGAGCACCATAAAGAGGCGGAGGAGAAGGACCAGCAAGAAGACGAGGACGACATGGATCAGCAAAAAGAGGCGGAGATGGAGCACGAAGAGGAGGACGAGGAGATGGGGCATGACGAGGACGAGGAGGGGATGGAGAGTCAAGGAGAGGAGGTCGTGGAACAGCAAGAAGAGGCGGAGGGCATGGATCAGCAGGACATGCAGCACAACATGGATGAGGAGGACGGCGAAGCGGAGCACCAGCTTGCAGTGAAGATTGTGTACATGCGTAGGCAAAGACCGGTTGTGTCCACACAATCTGTCGAGAACATACCCGACTTCCTTCCCAGCAATGACGCTCTCCAACATGACAACCTGTGGGTGACCAGGGTGGGGAGGAAGAGAAAGGAACCGATGGAGGATGCTGCTGCGAAGCCTAAACGTGCCCGTGGCAGGCCCTGCAAGCTGAAGACCGCTGAGCCCGGTGCAAAAAAAAAGAAAAGGATTCGCCAGTGCAAGGCTCGCGTGGAGGTTGTGGAGGATGACCCCGATTCAGATAACTACAGTAGACGGTTATCCGAATTCGAGGGAAGCCACTCTGATCGCGAATGAGGTCATCGTGTGTGTGTGTGTGTGTGTGTGTGTGTGTGTGTGTGAGAGAGAGAGAGAGAGAGAGAAACTTTTGTAATCGTTTGTGGAGCAATGTGGACGTGCTTTCTCTCCAGGCTAGTTTTTTTGTTTTTCGGTCTTGTCATCCCCGTAGTCCTCTTCCTCCTCCTCCTCGTCCTCCTCCTCTTCTTCTTCTTCTTCTTCTTCTTCTTCTTCCTCCTCCTCCTCCTCCTCCTCGTCCTCCTCCTCTTCTTCTTCTTCCACATACACACTTGCAAGGTCTGTGACATACCAGCACTGACACCCCCCAGACCCCCCCCCAGACCCCCGGCCCTCAACTGTAGTCTCTGGCCTGGGGGCAGGAACTGGGGCCCAACAGGCAGCTACTGGAAGCTTTCAGCCCGGCCACACACAACATCTTGGAGGCTGCCACTTCCATATACGAAGAGGGGCATCCCAGGCCAGGCATTCTGGCGGCCTACACGGGCAATGCGGTCACGATGCTGCGCTGCTGCATTGGACGCTGCGAAGGCCAGAGCGCTGGCGGGCCGCATTGAGGTGAGGAGGTGCGCTACAGGGCAGTGGAGCGCTGGCAGCCATAGCCGGGCTGCTGGGCGCTAGGGTGTAAGAGGGCGATCTGGCGGTCTTCAGGGATGGAGGCGAGTGTGTGGGTTATCAAGGTCTGATGGGGGTGACGATATACGTACCTGGTGCATGAAGAGAGGTCGGCTATGGTGTTGACATCATGTACATTGGTCTTCGAGAGTCAAAGTGAGCTTGTTGCGTGAACACAGCTGTAGGTAGGATAGTCGAGTAGAGTAGGCTAGGCGCTGGGCGCCAGACAGAGAGGAGCGACTTTGGATACTGTGTTGGTGTGGCCTGAGGGCTTGAACATTGGCTCATCACTTCATTGTATTGCTCTATTTGGATGGATTCTCGGTGTAATTGTGCTCTCTGCTTGTACACAACTACTTGGACATCTGTGTGATTTCGCACTTGGTTTTCTGTATATCGTTCACACTCATATTCCTTGCACAACACTTAAAAAAAAAAAAAAGGTCCCGGATCTGGGCTCCTTTGCAAATGTGCAGAAGACCCCCCACCGCCAAAAAAAATAAAAAATAAAAAATGACCACACTTTTTCTCTTGCCCGTGCACCCGGGGCCACATACGCCCGCGGGCGGCTTGCCCAGTTACCCGGCTGGGCAGAAAAAAAAAAAACCTAGGGGAAAAAACAAAATGTCGTGCAGATTGACTGCAGAGGAAAAAAATAACGAACGACTTTTGCCGCAGGGTCACGTCCAGATTCTTTTTCGAAAATAGAAATAAAAATTGAACTTATTATTTTTCATTACTTTAATTCATTGTAGGCCCACGCGGGCAAGTGGTCCCCGGCCACGCCAGGAACGTAGATTGGCAATAAACGGAATCAGATTTTAATATTGATTGAAGTGCTATGCCACTCCGCCGCTTAGGTGACTTTCACCTGGAGAAAATTTCCCCATCAGGTATATGCATTGAACCAGCCGCATGTGTCCTTTGCGACATCCGTTAAACCAACAAGTAATTTTGACTCTTCCCTTGCCGAGCCTGGAAACGCCCAGTGCGGTGCATTTTCCTTTTCTGGCTGGTGCCACCAGCCATTTAGCTCCAGTAGGCCGTGGCCCCCAAGTCGCGGTGCGCTAACACGTGTAAATTTGTAAAATGATAATCCCCTACGTGCCAGATTTGCCTGATAAGGTTCATCAAATCACCAAATTTTCAGTTCTGATCATTCTTTTTTTTTTTGTGAGAATAAAGGCATAGTTAGTAATTACTACTGATAAGCTTCCTCAACTCACCAAAACCTCCGGAGCCTCTTTCTGCTGAGGTGGATTACCCCTACGCCCTTTTTTTCTGTTGGCGGACGCCGCCGGCCATCAGCGTCTGGTAGTCCCACGCCTCCGAAGAACCCAAAAAAAATTTTCGTTTTCGGTTCTCGACATTGCCCGGGAAAAGTACTGGTGGATTAAGCAGTGAATGTCATGCTCTCAGAGCCGTCCAAAATTTCGGTAGCGGTGGCTAAAAGCAACTGCAAGGAAAAAATTTTTCGTTTTCGGTTCTCGACATTGCCCGGGAAAAGTACTGGTGGATTAAGCAGTGAATGTCATGCTCTCAGAGCCGTCCAAAATTTCGGTAGCGGTGGCTAAAAGCAACTGCAAGGAAAAAATTTTTCGTTTTCGGTTCTCGACATTGCCCGGGAAAAGTACTGGTGGATTAAGCAGTGAATGTCATGCTCTCAGAGCCGTCCAAAATTTCGGTAGCGGTGGCTAAAACCAACTGCAAGGAACAAATTAAACTTGATTAAAGACCATTCGTGAATCGACCAATATGAATGCAGAATTGGAAAGGGCGAGAACACACGAATGGAAGAACACACTGAACACTGAAGTCTCGTCATTATGAAAGCCCTCTTCACACCTCAATCATAACACCAACAAACTCTAGTGTGTCCCTCTCTCTCTCTCTCTCTCTCTCTCTCTCTCTCTCTCTCTCTCTCTCTCTCTCTCTCTCTCTCTCTCTCTCTCTTTTCATGCCTCAACTCAAACATTACAACAACAAAGTGATAGCCTTAATCTCTGGTGTGTCCCCTATACTACTTCCCTAGTTTAGCCTACCGTCATCTCTCTCTCTCTCTCTCTCTCTCCACAGATGACTGCTGAGAGTGTGATAACAATGGTGCTCTCCCGCCAGGAACCAGGTAAGTATCTGCCTCTCCCCACAGCCCTCCTGCTCCTCCCAAGTACCTCCCCTTCCACCCTGCTACCCTTCTCTCCCATTGTGGTGCAGTTCCCGTTCGGATATGGTGCCTGGCAATGCAGGCAGCGCACCACTGGCACTGCTGTTCAGGGCTCTGCGGAAACTTGCTTGCTGCTCCCAGAATACTATCCCTTGCAAGTGCCCACTGCCTGGTCTGGGTGTGTTGCCCTGGCCTCTACCGGAAACCTCGTGGCAGAGTGCTAGAGGGGGTGATATGAACATCCCCCTTAGCAGCACCTGCTGCGGATAGCTCTGGTGTATTGGTGGGGAGCAACATCAATATTGCGCCATGAGGTATTCTGTGGGATGTGCAGTGTGTACGTGCGTCATGAACCTGTGCACTCGTCCGTCCGTCCGTATCTTTGTGCGCCTATGCATGCCGTCATCCATGCACCCATGTGTTACAAACATCGGTCCATGCATATCCATTCTTTCTAACCTCTCTTTCGCATCCACCCCACCTTCGTGCACCTATGCATGCCGTCATCCATGCACCCATGTGTTACATACATCGGTCCATGCATATCCATTCTTTCTAACCTCTCTTTTGCATCCACCCCACCTACCAATCCAATCCTGATCCATCTAATCCAATCCAATCCAATCCAATCCAATCTAATCAAATCTTACATATTGCTTTCTTAACTATCCAACCCTGAGATTCAGTTTTGATTTTTTTGTCTTTTGTGCAGTTGTTGGTATGTGCCACACATTGTGAGCCGCGCAACACACGAGTACGACACAACGAGTATGGTGTTGACAGGTCATGAACGAAGCACTCTCAAAATGCAAACACAAATGGCTCCACGAACACTTGACTGGAAGTGCAAAGCAAGAAGAAAGCTCCAAAAGAAACAGAAAAAAAAAAAAGATCAATGCTGACTCTTGCCCGCATCTCTGATTTTATGCTGTGCTGTTTCTTGGAAAAAGAAGAAGAAGAAGAAGAAGAGGAAGGAGAAGAAGAGGAAGGAGAAGAAGTGGAAGGAGGAGGAGGAGGAAAACGAAGAGGAAGAAGCAGCAGCAGAGGAAGAAGCAGCAGCAGAAGAGGAAGGAGGAGGAGGAGGAGGAGGAGAAGGAGGAGGAGGAGGAGGAGGAGGAGGAGCAGGAGCAGCACGAGCAGGAGCAGGAGCAGGAGGAGGAGGGGGAGGAGAAAGGAGCAGGAGCAGAAGAAGGAGCAGAAGAAGGAGCAGAAGAAGGAGCAGCAGAAGAAGGAGCAGAAGAAGAAGAAGCAGAAGCAGAAGAAGCAGAAGCAGAAGCAGCAGAAGAAGAAGAACAAGAAGAAGACGCAAGAAGAAGAACAAGAAGAAGAAGAAGCAAGAAGAAGAAGAAGAAGAAGAAGAAGAAGAAGAAGAAGAAGAAAACGAGGAGGAGCAGGTGGAGAGGAGGAGGAGGAGGAGGAGGAGAAGAAGAGAGGAGGCGGAGGAGGAGGAGGAGAAGAAGAAGAAGAGGAAGAGCAAGAATAAGAGCAAGAGGAAGAGGAAGACGAAGACGGCGAAGAAGAAGAAGCAGCTAGCCGCAACTCACACACCAGGTTAGTACCTCACAATCTGATATTTGTTTGATGGTTCACAAAAAAAAGAAAAAGAGAAGCTGCAACTGAACAACAATACCACAGTGTCACACACATCATTGTCTCTCATAGCAGACAAATTACGTACCAGGAAAGTGCGCAAATTCTGCCAGCTGGTTGCTGTTGTCCCTATTCCGCCGTTAGCAGGGAAGCTGATCTTGCCCATGTCTACTTCAGAGTTGTCTTCACCATTAGTCAGCAATAGCAAACCTTTGGAACTGCTCTCAGGTGTACTCTTGTTTCTCGAAGCACTCCCTAGGCGTTTCCGCGCGGTGGCGGCTGGCGATACCGCGCTGCTTCCACCACTGCAGCCAAGCAAGAACAAAGGAAAACAACCAAAACAAAACAATGAACACGTATGTACCTGTCTCTTATACACATCTAGATGTGTATAAGAGACAGGAGAGAGAGAGAGAGATGCAAATGGGCCCGTTCT